CTTCTGGTAGCTATTATGAAGTTGAAGAGGATAGTGGTATTAGGTGCCTATTAGAAATGGTTGGTACTGATTATAATGTTATCAATTGGTTTGTTGTTGAGGACTGTGAGATGTCAGTCCAAGTACCTAATATTACTTAATATGATGAGGTTGTAGTACCTGATTTTGAGGTTGCTACTGACTGTAGCTCAACTGATGGTGAGGATAGTGATGAGTATGATTCTGAGCCTTCAGAATATGATTCTGAAGAATTAGATACTATTGTAACTCAAAGAAACATGAGTATTACTGAGCAACTCCTTGATTATAAGGAACTAGACAAGAGTATGACCTTCAAAGACATCTCTGAAGCTAAGAAGTGTCTAAAACTCTATGCTATGACAAATAAGAAAGAGATAGTTCTTAAAAAAGTGATAAAACAAGGCTTAGGTATGAGTGTCACACTAGCTGCCCATTTGTTTGTTTAATCTCTAAAGATAGGAACTGTTCAGGGGGTAAGAATCAAGACCTTAAACCCACATAATGATTGTTATGTTGCTTATGACAATAATACTGTTGACTACTGCACTATTGCATATGTTGCTTATGACAATAATATTGTTGACTACTGCACTATTGCATATTATTTTAAAAAGAAATTACAAAATAATCCAAAATTTAAAGTGAAAAAGATGACGGTTGACCTGAAAGATGCATTTGAGCTGAATATTAGTCATGGAAAATGCAAGAGAGCAAAAGTATTGATTCTTAATAAGCTGCAAGGAAGCTTTAAAGATGAGTATAATAAGCTAAAGGCATATGCCAATGAGTTGAAGATCAGTAATCTTGGTTGTGATATTGTTATTAACTTGTCAAAAGATGCACTAGCTGAAGGTAAGAGGAGATTTTTAAGAAAGTATATCTGTTTCAATGCACTGACGATGGGTTATAAGGCTGGTTTGAGGCCTTTCATTGGATTGGATGGGACATTTTTTAAGGGAAAAGCTAAAGGACAACTTCTAGTTGTTGTTAGTCAAGACCCAATGAACCATTTTTATCCTATAGCATGGGCTGTATTGACAAAGAAACAAAGAGGACTTGGGACTGATTTTTAGGATTGTAAAAAGGGTCATTGGACCTACAGAATGGAGAATGATACACTTTCATCTCAAACATACAAAAGGTACTTTTCAGTTGTTTATTTCAGTAAACTTTCTATTTTTTCATAGTCTATTTCTCCATACTTCTTTTCAGTTGTTTTCTGTTTTTTATAGCCTTTTTTCTTTTCTGCTTGGTTCATGATTTATAGGGTCTGATTGAGGCAATGAGAACAACACTTCCTAAAGCTAACCACAGATATTGTGTTAGACACATTGAGGCTAACCGGGGTAATAGATGGAGATCTGGGGAGATGAAAAAGCTTCTATGGTGGGTGCATAGAGAACTTATGAGAAGGATTTTCAAGACCAATTGAAGAATATGGGGGATATGGATGAAGATGTTGTGAGAGATTTGCTACATTATCCTGCCCAGTAATGGTGTAGAGCTTATTTTGACACTGTTTGCAAAAACATGACAGTGGACAATAACTTCACAGAGTCATTCAATGTATTGATCTTGGATGCAAGGTGTAAACCAATAATCAAGATGTTGGAAGACATTAGAGTTAAGGTTATGACCTTATTGAGAGAACATGAAGATCAAGTGAAGTCATGAACGCATGACTTTAGTCCACAAAGCATGAAATTGTATGTTGATTATTTGAAGATTGCTCACACATGTGTAGTTTACTTTAATGGAGATGCTGGTTATGAGATTAGAGAAGGAGAAGATGAACATATTGTCAAATGGAAGTGAAGCAATGTAGAGGCAATGACAACTCTCAGGAATACCATGTTCTCACACAATCAAAGCAGTGATATACAAGAGGAATGACTCTTTGGAGCAAATGCATTGGTGGTATAGCAAAGAGGCTGCTCTAAAGACTTATTCACATAAGTCGCAGCCTGTTAGGGGTGAGAAATTCTAGAAAATAGACCCATCACGGGCCATGGAACCACCACATTTGGTGAAGTTAGCTGGCAGTAGAGGTGGCAAATAGACGGGTTGGGCTGAATTTGGGCGGGTCAAGATGGTTTAGGTCAATAAATGGGTCGTTGCCCAACCCAGCCCAAAGTGTACTTGGGCTAAGATGGGCTGGGTTAAGATGGGTTAAACAATGGGTCATAACCCAACTCGCCCAACTTGACCCACGTTCTATAACCATGCTCATCTTGCATAAAAAAGCATTTTACCTTAAAATGTGTAAGTCAAAAAAATCTTAGGGGTGGGTGTGGGGGTGGGTGATACAAAAAACGAAAAAAAATAGAAAATTAAAAATTAAAAATAAAAAAACGTAATTTTCTTTTTTTGAAATACAAAAAAAAAAGAAAAAAAAATTGAGGGGAAGGGGGGAGTTGGTGCAGAAAAAACAAAAAAAAAATTAGGGGAGGGGGGTTTTGCGGGCATGGGTGGTGCAGAAAAAATAACAGAAAATTGAAAATACAAAAAAAAACGTAAAAATTTTTTTAGGGCAGGGGGGTTTTGCGGGGG